CCAAAAGTGGTATTACTGGGTCTTGAGGAAAGTTGTTTTCTAATTTTCTGAGAAATGGCCACACTGACATCCAAAGGAGTTGTACCAGCTTTCATTCCCACCAGCAATGCAGGAAGTGTTCCCTTTTCCCCACAACCTCTCCAGCATAAGTTGTCATCAGTGTTTTTAATCCTGGCCATTCTTATAAGTGGAAGTTGGAATCTCAGAGTTGTTTTGATTTGCATTTCTCTGATGACTAAGGATGCTGAACATTTCCTTAAGTGTCGTTCAGCCATTTTAGATTCCTCTGTTGAGAGTTCTCTGTTTAGGTCTGTATTCTGTTTTTTTTTTTTTATTATTGGATTATGTGATCTTTTGGTGTCAAATTTCTTGAGTTCTATGTATATTTTGGAGATCAGACCTCTGTCTGATGTGGGGTTAGTGAAGATCTTTTCCCATTCTGTAGGCTGTCGTTTTGTCTTGTTGACTGTGTCCTTTGCTTTACAGAAGCTTTTCGGTTTCAGGGGGTCTCATTTATTAATTGTTTCTCTCAATGTCTGTGCTGCTGGGGTTATGTTTGGTTGGTTTTTGAGACAGTTTCTCTATATCAGTTCTGGCTGCCCTTTTAGACTTCTCAAGATAGGGTTTCTTTGTGTAGCCCTGGCTGTCCTGAAACTTGCTTTGAAGACCAGACTGGCCTCAAACTTAAAAATCCTCCTCCCTCTGCCTCCCAAGGGCTGAGACTGAAGGCATGCACCACCACCATCCGACTTGTGTAGGGCTCTTTCACTGAATTTGTTTCAGGTTGCTTGCATGAGGGTTATTTGCCAAACCTGAGCAACTTAACAGTGGTTCTACCATTCTAAAAAAAAAATGACTTCCTCAGGCTGGAGACATGGCTCAAAGGGTAAGAGCACTGGCTAGAGATCCTGAGTTCAACTCTCAGCAATCACATGGTGGCTCACGACTATCTGTAATGAGATCTGGTACCCTCTCATGGGCTACAGGAATACATGCAGACAGAATAGTATATATACATAATAAATCTTTGAAAAATTATTTCCTCATATATTCTGGTGCTTTATATGTAATATGACTTTAAATTTTTAATTCCTTTTGCACCTGTGATCGTTTCCCCCCCTTAATTGGAATAATGACTGTCCTATTACTCTTCTGTATTCTTTGCATACTACTCTGTTTTTATTCTTATGTGCTGGGTTTTTTGTTGTTTTAAGACAAGATTTTACTGTGTGTGCCTGGGTTACTTGGACCTCATAGAGACCTGTCTACCTCTGTCTTTTAAGTGCTGGGATTAACGCTATGCACCACCATGCCTGAGGTAACCTGTTTTGACAATTTCTCTTCTCCCAGGGCGAAGAGAAGTTCACCTTTATTGAGAAATGTAATAATCCCCGTTCTGTCACATTGCTGGTTAAAGGACCAAATAAGCACACGCTGACTCAAATCAAGGATGCTATAAGAGATGGCTTGAGGGCTGTCAAAAATGCCATTGATGATGGTAAGAACCACACTATTTGCATTGTGTTTTTGTTGCAAGTCTAAAAGGCATGGCTGAATACTGTGTTCTTTAGTCAATAATTTACACAGCCAGACACCATGCAAAAGTAACATCTTCCTTTAAAATGATTGGTATGCTGTTTTTTATGGTATATCATTATTAAAAGTGAGTACAAGTAAGTAATCAAAATTGGTGGCTCTTGAGCTGTCAATTACTGAGTTATGGCTAGGTAGGACCATTTTAATGAGCTCTAAACTTTTGTGTTTACTGGGTTTTCTCTCTTTTTCTCTGTAACTTAGCATTTCCTTTCCTTGTCCAACAGGCTGTGTTGTCCCAGGTGCTGGTGCAGTAGAAGTGGCAATGGCAGAAGCTCTGATTAAATACAAGCCCAGCGTGAAAGGCAGGGCTCAGCTTGGAGTCCAGGCATTTGCAGACGCCTTGCTCATTATTCCCAAGGTTAGAATATTTACCTTAGTTTTATTTGCTGACAGTCTTTGGGCTAGAGTCGGTTGTAAATGTTAGTTTTCTAAACTATGTGAGGCAGGGCAGGCTGATCTTGGCCAACTGATGTACATCACATTTCAGGCCAGCCAACAGTGTTTGTAGAGTAGAGTTTAGAAGAATACCCACCTACCACACCCCATGACAGGCAAGCTGTAATCTCTGCAGCTGTGCAGAGGAGAAGAAAAGGGAGAAAGGCAGCGTGGAAGTCTGTCACAAAGGGACGGACCAGTAGCCACATAGCAGGGAGAGGCTAAGTGGACAGATAACAGCTGCCTGGGAAGCCGTTGTCAGGATGGGCTTGCCTATCTCTGTGATGTACATACTTATGGTGAAGTTTACGACCAGTGCTTTGTTTTGCTGGGTTTGAGGTGTATTAGAGTCAGTCAACAATACCTGCCTGTCCCCTGGACGAGAATGTAAATGGTTCTGACCCGTGCATGCAAACCACCACCTCAGTTATTTATTTGGTAGGGGGACAACTAGGGTTTTTAATTAATTGAAAATACTGTTGGCTTATTGTAGGCTTGACATTCTATTTTCAGTTTGTCTTTTCAAGAATTAAATTTGTTTGCTAGGTTCTTGCGCAGAACTCTGGTTTTGACCTTCAGGAAACACTAGTTAAAGTTCAAGCTGAGCATTCAGAATCGGGTCAGCTAGTAGGTGTGGACTTGAACACAGGTGAGAATGCACCTTATTGGTGGGGGTGGAGCTGGATGGAGTAAATGACTGAGGGGTCTGGGTGTTCTGGTGGGTACCAGTGACATAACTGGACTGACTAGATGACAGATATCAGAGTGGATATTTTGGAGAGGAGCAGTGATTGGGGACTCTGGTGCTTACTGATGAGTAGTCAGTGATAAGCAGTACTGTTATTTTTATATTTTAAAGAGTCTGAGGTTGACGTGATGCAGCCTGTGATCCCAGGACTGAGGTGCAGGAGCAAAGCCTGGAAGCTGTCTTTGGCTACATAGCAAAACACTGCCTCAAAATACTCTAAATTGGCCCTCGTTTTCTATTCTAGAATTGGCAGGGTTTGTTCATAAAATAGAATGGTTTCTTGTAAAAGACATTTGATGGGGGCTGGAAAGAGATGACTCTCAGTGTTTTAGAGCACCGGCTGCTCTTCCAGAAGTCCCAGATTCAGTTCCCAGCACCCACATGACAGCTCGTAACTGCCTGGAACTCCAGTTCCAGGGAGTCTGACACCCTCAAACAGACAAACATGCGGGCAGAACACAAAAAATGCATGTAAAATAGCGATTTTTTTTTTTAAGGCAACCGATAATACATAGTTTCAAGGTGTGGTGTTTTGCAGGTGAGCCCATGGTGGCAGCAGAGATGGGTGTGTGGGATAACTACTGTGTGAAGAAGCAGCTGCTTCACTCCTGGTGAGTTTGGAACCTTGAGCTAGCTCTTGCATCATTGTTTAGTTGGACAAGTTGAAATCTGTTCATATCTGAGCTATTTTCTTTTTCCTTTCCAGTACTGTGATTGCCACCAACATTCTCCTGGTTGATGAGATCATGAGAGCTGGAATGTCCTCTCTGAAAGGTTGAAGAAGTCTCCCTGTCGCTGCGTCTGTACTACTACAGCATGACATGGGGAAATGGTCGTTTTTATCCAAGCGTCAAGTGATTTGGAAAAGAATTTTTCTCTTCCCGGTTGAAGAAAAGGGAACAGGACATTTGGCACCTATTCAAATTATAATACTGTAAAACAAATTTTTCACTAAGTGTATGCATAAAGCAGACACACTGAACAAGAAGTTTCAGCTACAATGATTCAAAATTACATATTAAGATAAGTGTGTTGTCTACCTTGTTCCTTAAAATGTTCTTTGAAAAATTGTAATGGTTTTCTCCTAAACAAGGCATAGTGGAGCAAGCCTGTAAGCCTAGCACTTTGGAAAAAAGGTCAGGGCGTTCTGCTCTAACTCAGGCTGCAGGAGACCCCCAGCTCAAAAGATTTTTTTTTTAACGGATGTATTATAACTTAGCCAACTAACTCTATGTTAAACATGTAAGATTCTTACCAGTGCAAAACACATGTGGGTAATTTATGGTTTTCATAGTGTCTCTAATAAATACTTAAAGGTACTGGGTCATCCACACTTACCTGAAGTAACTGCTAAAAAAAATACTTGCCTCAGAAAAGTGAATTTGAAGTTATCACATGGAGGCTGGGGCAGGGATAACAAATCTGAAGCCCCCTTGCAAACACTAGAGGCAGAAACAAGTTACAAGGATCACAGCCAGAAGATGGGTGAAATACGGTGATTTTAGACTTTCCAAACCTTTGATTTTACATTTTTCCATCATACCTCTCACAGTTTTGTCAGCTTTTTCTCTTTTAAATACTATTGGTTTATGTGTATTTTTTAAAATTTTTTTAAATATTTATTTATTATGTATACAATATTCTTGTCTGTCTGCCTGCAGGTCAGAAGCGGGCATCAGATCTCATTTCAGATGGTTGTGAGCCACCATGTGGTTGCTGGGAGTTGAACTCAGGACCTTTGGAAGAGCAGCCAATGCTTTTAACCTCTGAGCCATCTCTCCAGCCCTTAAAATATTTTTTTATGGTTTATTTAACTTTATTTTATGTGCATTGGTGTGAAGGTGTCAGATCCCCTGGAACTGGATCTAAAGACAGTTGTGAGCTGCTGTGTGGGTGCCGGGAATTGAACCTGGGTCCTCTGGAAGAGCAGTGTTCTTAACCACTGAGCCATCTCTCCAGCCCCTGGTTTCTGTGTATTTACATGTTCGATTATATATGCCATCTTCCCAAATGGGGTGGGGGTGGGGTCCTCGGTATTTTATACAATGAGTGAAATAAAAAGGTGAAACCTGACTGGGCAGTGGTTGGCACACGCCTTTAATCCCAGTGGGATGCAGGCGGATCTGGCCTACAAGAGCTAGTTTCAGGAGAGGCCAAAGCTACAGAGAAGCCCTGTCTAGAAAAACAACAAAAAAGGGTTGAAACCGACACACCTTTAATCCCAGCAGAGGCAGGCGGTATCCCAGTTTGAGGCCAGCCTGGTCTGTAAGAGCTGGTTCCAGGACAGCCAGGGTGCTATTTAGAAGTGCTTTATATTGCCCATGCTCAGGTCCCAGCAGTCACTGGGCTGCTCCTAACCAGCAGCAACTTCAGTAACGCGGGCACGCATGCACTCCTTAACATTACGTACACAAAAAAATTTGGGGGTATGTGAATTCAGTCCAAGTGAATAAACCAGTGTTTAATTCATTCATGGGCGGTCCCCGTGGGCAATCTACCAAGGAGCGCCACCTGGGTCTCCCAGCAGCTCTGCCATTGGTCAAAAATCAGGATGCTCACCCTCAAGCAAGTGCGCAGGCGTGAGAAAGTCAACCCAGAGCCCGGTTTCAAGCAGACGCATGCGTGTTGATTACCGGCTCGTCGGCATGGGTGCCTCGTTCCCTCTCTTGTCTCTGCTGTGGTTCCTGTCCAGTCCCAGGCTTCAGCTAGGTCAGTGTTCGGCCCAGTGCCTGTTTACCCTATTCCTGAGCACCCGAAAAGGGATGGCACCCAACCTTTCAGATGCTGCCCCCGCCTCGGAGGGTTTTTGCAAGATCTCGAGTTGCTTGCTGGGGCTGGCCACCATGAAACTGCACTTCGGTTTTTTTGAAGCAGGGTATGCTGCTCTGCCTGGGCCAAGAGTACTGCACGCTGGTTTTCCTGTCCTCCCGATTCCACTTTCCTATCTTGAGCTGGTGTACTCACGTGTGGTACATAGCTGTTATTTGTAGAAAGTCAGCTTTAAAAAGTAAAGATCACAAAGTCGCACAGAAATCCGATGCCATTTCCCACTTTACAACTAAGAGTACCCTATCGTCTGTTTAAATACACTTTTTTTTTTTCTCTAGTTGATGGATTGAACTTTTGGTTTTGGTTTTGTTGTTGTTGTTGTTGTTGTTTCGAGACAGTTTCTCTGTGTAACAGCTCTGACTGTCCTGGAAATCGCTCTGTAGACCAGGCTGGCTTCGAACTCACAAAGATCTTCCTGCCTCTGCCTGCCAAATGCTGGGATTAAAGGTGTGCACCTTTAACGGCTTGGACTGAACTTTCTGAGTGTTTTGCCTCTATGTGTGTTTGTGCACCATGAGTGTGCCTGGTGCCCACGGAGGTCAGAAGAAAAGTGGTAGAATTCCTGGAACTGAAGAAACATGGTTATAGACCACGACTGGGTGCTGGAACCTGGGGTGCCCACAAGAGCAACAGGTATCCTTACATGCGGAGCCGTTTCTCTAGCGCCCTGTTTTATCTTTGAGGCAGAGTAACTATGGCTCCCTGTCTGGCCTGGAACTCTATGTAGTAGGCCAAGCGGACCTCTAATTCATGGATGCTACAGGTTTCTTAGAGCTGGGATTATAGGCATTTTTAAAAATTGTCTTAGGTTTTATTTTGTTGTGTTTTGAGACAGGGTCTCACTCTGTAGCTCTCAATGGCCTGAAACTCACAGAATCCAGCTGCTTCTGCCTCCCATGTGCTGGATTTGAAGGTGTGTGCCACCATCCACTTGTTATTTTTCAAACAGTCTCACTCTATAGCCAAGGCTAGCCTCAAACTCAAGATCCTCCTACCCCAGCCTCTCAATTTTTAAGTGCTGGGAATTACAGGTGAGTCACCCCATCTGTCTTTTTTGTTTTGATTTTTTTCTAGACAGGGTTTCTCATGTAGCCCTGGCTGTGCTGCAGCTCTTGGCCTTGAACTCAGAGATCCACCTGCCTCTGCTCCCCAGGTACTGGGATTAAAGATGTGTGCCACCACTGCCTCACACCCCCATATGTCTTTTTAAAACTTTTTTGTTTCTCTTGAGACAGGTTCTTACTCTGTAGTCTTGGCTGACCTCACTGTGTAGACCAGGCTGGCCTCAAAATCACAAATATCTATGTCTCCAGCTCCAAATGCTAGGATTAGAGGTGTATGCCACCATCAATGGACTTTAAAGGGGGGGGGTCTTTTATTTTTCCTCTGTGTATATGTGTACCATGTGTGTGCAGATATTGGCAAAGGACTGAAACTTAGCCTGGTCCCTAAAACTATTTTTAAAATTTTAGTTTGCTTGTTTATATTGTTATTGTTGGATATTTAATTCCATTTTAATTTGATATTTCCCTACTTACTCATTTCGACCCCTTGAAATTATTCCTGAAATAGGTAGAATTGTGTCAGAATGAGAACAGGGCTAGATACAGCACCCTGTAAATCTGGGTGTGGTCACTCATCCCTTTAATCCCCAAGAGGCAAAAGTAGGCAGATCTCTGTGAGTTCCAAGCCAGCCCAGGGTTGGAGGGAAAGAGGAGACCCAGGACCTTCTCGCCTCTGTGGGTACCAGGCACACATACACACACACACAGTACACTTACATACATTCGTAAGATAAAAATATTTTTTAAAAAGCTGGGAATGTTGGAGCACTTCTTCAGTCTGAGCACTCAGGAGGCAGGAGCAAGTGAAACTTGGTGAGTTTGGGGCCAGCCCAGTCTATATAGTGAGTTCCAGATGAGCCAGGTCTGCAGAGTGAGGCCCCATCTCAACAACAACAACAAAGGCTTTAAAGGGAAATGATGAGGTAAGTAAGATTTATATACATGTATCTTCATGCATTGCTCCTACCTGTCCTGTTCTGCAGGAAATGCTCAGGCTCCTGCCATGGTGCAGCTGCCAGGTGGGCGATTTTTGATGGGGACTGATGCTCCAGATGGAAGAGATGGCGAAGGACCTGCCCGGGAAGTGACAGTCAAATCCTTTGCCATTGACGTGTTTCCTGTCACTAATAAAGATTTCAGGTATTTCAAGTTTTGGTGGGTTTTTTTTTTTTGCTTTGTTTTGTTTTGTTTTTGTTTTTGTTTTTTTGCAGGAGGAGGTAAGGGTACTGGTCTTTTCTAATTATGATCTTCATGTCTCAAAAATAAATAATGCTTGATACAAGAGATGGCTGTAAGACATTAAATAGAAGCTGGGTGGTGATGGCGCACACCTTTAATCCCAGCATTCAGGAGGCAGACGCAGGTGGATCTCTTGAGTTTGAGTCCAGTCTGGTCTACAGAGTGAGTTCCTGCTACTCAACCAGTGAAATCCTGACTCCAAAAACCAAAAAAGAAAGAAAAGTTGTTAAATAGAAAAGTATCTTCCTAATCACAAAAATATTACCTCGTTTGTTACTTTTTAAATTATGTACAATGAGTGTTTTGCTTGTATGTTAGCATGTGCACCCACATGCATGCCTAGCACCCTCAGATGTGAGAAGAGGAAGTCAGATTCTTGGGAACTGGAGGTACAGAAGTTTGTGAATTGACATGCAGGTGTTGAAAATCCAAACTGGCTTCTCTCTAAGAACAACAGATGCAGCTGGGTATGGTGGCGCACACGCCATTAATACTCACACTCAGGAGGCAGAGACAGATGGATCTCTGAGATCGAGGCCAGTCTGGTCTATAAAACAAGTTACAGGACAGCCAGGGATACATAGAAAGACCCTGCCCCCAAAAAATCAATAAATAAGTATGTAAATAAAAGCAAAACATACTGATACTGAAAAAAAGCACAGCCTAGGTGAATCTAATGCACAGTGCTAGTCAAGAAGAGCCATGGGTGATGGACTCTCTTCAGCCATCCTGTAGGTGGGTCCCAGTATAACTTAAAGAGATAAAGGTGTTGGGGGCTGGAGAGAAGGCTCGGCGGTTAAGAGCATTGCCTGCTCTTCCAAAGGTCCTGAGTTCAATTCCCAGCAACGACATGGTGGCTCACAACCATCTGTAATGAGGTCTGGTGCTCTCTTCTGGCCTGCAGGCATACATGCAGACAGAATGTTGTATACATAATAAATAAATAAATAAATAAATAAATAAATAAATATTAAAAAGAAAAGAAACTCACGTACTAGAGTTGGTTGTGGTATTACACTCCGGTTATCACAACACTCAGGCAGGAGAATTTATGAGTTCAAGGCCATCTTGGATTATATAAGGAAATCCTATAGAAAAAGGAAAAACGAAAAAAGTAACTTTCATAGACAAAAGAAAAAAGAAACTCTCACAGGTGTCAGGTTAATTTCTTGAAGCTCGTGAACAAGGCTCCCCAGAGCGGAGGACAGTAGGGAAGGGCGTGGAATCCTAGCTGCCAAGCCACGTGAACTGTCTCTTCCCAGGGAATTTGTCCGAGAGAAAAAGTTCCGGACCGAGGCAGAGACCTTCGGGTGGAGTTTCGTCTTTGAGGATTTTGTGCCCCCTGAGCTTAGAAATCAAGCAAATCAGATGCCGGTGAGAGAGAGCCTGGTCACTGGTCACGGGACTGGGGGCGGAAGCGGGTGTGTAGAGTCTTCTGAGGGAAGGGGGAGGGGTCAGCTGGTGCCACGGTGGAGGCCAAGTGGAATGTATTCAGAGAGAATGAATACACACTGCTCCATTAACCCGAGCAGCCAGGGTGGTAAACGCCAGGCCTGCTGGTGAATGCCTGGAAGCGCAGTTACTTGGGACGCTGAGGCAGGGTAATAAGGTCAAGGGCAGCCTGAGCGTTCAGGGAGACCTCCTCTCAAAATGGAATCTCTAAAAAGGGGCTAGATGGAGCTCAGGGGCAGAGGGCTCGCCTACTAGCTTGTGCAAAAACGTGGGTCCAATTCTGGGTTGGGGGGTGGTAGAGAGGAGAGACTGACTCTCCTCACTTTGGCTTTGCTTGGCGGGAGAGGGGGGGTTGTTTTTGTTTGTTTGCTTTTTAAGACAAGGTCTCACTATGTAGATGGAGCTCACGCTGTAGACCAGGTTGATCTTGAACTCGCAGAGATCCTCCTGCCTCTGCCTCCTAAGTGCTGGATTATAGGTGTGCACTACTGTACTGGGTTTACGCAGTGCTGGTGACCCAGCCCAGGGTTTCGGGCATGCTGGGCAAAGCGCTCTGCCAACTGAGCTGCGTGCCCAACCCCAGAGTATCATTTGAAAAACATTCCGTCCATAGCCAGGTGTTATGGAGTATGCATTCAATCCCAGACTCAGGATCTCTGAGTTTGCGGCCCGCCTGGTCTACATAGTGAGCGCCCGTTCCGGTCCATCCAGGGCTACATAGTGAGGCCTGTCTCAAAACAAGAGAACAACAACAAAAAGATTCCATCCACAGCCCGCAATCTGTGTTCCACTTCCAGTGGCGAGTCGAGAAGGGTCCTTAGCTGGGTCAGCTCCTGCCCTCATACTGTTTCTGTCTTTGCAGTCTGTTCTCTGGTGGCTACCAGTGCAGAGGGCGTTTTGGAGGCAGGTGAGTATTGGTTCCTTCGCCTCATTTTCTACGACTACTGAGTTTCATTCTGGAAATTTGGTTTCCCTGAACCCCTAATCCCTCAAAACACCAAGGATACTGGACTGCTTTTATCTGTTTTGTTTTTGAGATGGGGTCTCCCTATGTAGCCCTGACTGGCCTGGAACCGGCTATGTAAATCAGGCTGGCCTCAGACTCAGAGCTCTGCCTGCCTCTTCCTCTGAGTAAAGGTGTGCGCCACCGTGCCTGGTCAGCCAGGAGTGCTGTTTTAAGGACTGACTAGGACATTTCAGGAGTAGCCCTTTTCCTTCTGCGCTAATTCTTTTCGATGTTTTCTGCTGCTCTCTTTACTGACGAATCTGAATCTGTCTTTTTGTCCCCGTTTCTCCTCTCTCGTGACGTCTCACTCTGTAGCCAGGTTCCCCCTCCCACACTCCTCTTAGTGCCGGAATGGCAGGTGTGTGCTGCCACCATCCGGTTTCTCACTCACTGAGTCATCGTTCCCGACATCCTCCCTCTCCCTCGTACAAAAGCTGAACCGAGGCTCCCCAAGCCTTGTGTCAGCCTCCCCCTAGATCCCGAAAGTCCGGCTCATTTCGCCTTGACTCTCAGCCTGCAGGTCCCGGCTCTGGCATCCGAGAAAAACTGGAGCTTCCGGTGGTACATGTGAGCTGGAACGATGCTGTCGCTTACTGTGCATGGCGGGGAAAGCGGTTGCCCACAGAGGAGGAATGGGAGTTTGCGGCCCGAGGGGGCTTGAAGGGTATGTGGATGCCAGCGCCATTCTCTCATCTTCCTGCCCCGCCCTGCACTGGGGCTAGAAAGGCTGGAGAGGGTCCTGAGTTCCCACCAGTAGTGATTTTTAACAAGAGCGAGGGACCAATTGCTGCTCTGTGGTTTCATCTCTGATCCAGTTTAGACCAGTCACCTGCAACAGGACTTAAAGGGACTTACAGATGGGCATACCGGGAACTGAACTCACATTCTCTGGAAAAGCAGCAAGAATGCTTATCCAACTGGGCGGTGGTGTAGCACACCTATAATCCCAGCACTCTGGAGTTAGAAGCAGGTGGATCTCTGTGCGTTCGAGGCCAGTCTGGTCTACAGAGCGAGTTCCAGGACAGGTTCCAAAGCTACAGAGAAATCCTGTCTTGAGGGAAAAACAAACAAACAAAAAAAAAAATGCTCAGCCATTCTTGAAGCCCTAAAAAATTTTCTTAGAAAGCCGAGAATAGTGGCACGTAAACTGTCCTTGGGATGGAAACCAATTCCCACGCTGGGCATATCTGTACTCTTCATGCACATAGGTTATAGCAATAGCTTTATTTTATTTTACTTTTTTGCTTTTTGACACAGGGTTTCTCTGTGTAGCCCTGGCTACCCTGGAACTCGCTCTGTAGATCAGGCTGGTCTCCAGCTCACAGAAATCCACCTGCCTCTGCCTCCCGAGAGCCGGGATTAAAGGCGTGCGCCACCACCACAGGCCAATAGTTTTAAAATATAGCAAGTGGGGTTGCTTCCTACCTGTTCGTGATTGCATTTTAAGCCCAGCTAAGAAGTTTCTCACGCCATCCCTCGTTGTCTGTGTGTCCCTCCGCCACACTAAGAACTGCAGGGCTGTGGTGTCCAGCAGTGTAATGCGATTCTATCTGTTGCTCCCCAGGTCAGGGAGGACTCTGAATGAATGGAAGGAAGCGAAGTCAGCCTCCCTGTCTCTCCACCTCCTCCCTTCCTTCTGGCTTCCTCATTCTTTTTGTCTTTCCAACCAGTTCTTTCTCTTTTGTCTCTTTGCTGTCTTGCAGGCCAGGTTTATCCGTGGGGGAACCAGTTCCAGCCAAACCGCACCAATTTGTGGCAGGTAAGACCTGCCTTCCTCCTTCTCCAAGCCTTGCTGGAGCCCTGCAGAGGCACCGGTTCAGTCCCTGGTGGGACTCAGTGCTGTATGGAACACCGCTAAGGCCATGGACAGGGCCTAGCGGGGCCTGGTGAGACAAGTTTGTCCTCCCAGGAGGAATCACAAGTTCAAGGCCTTACCGAGCAGCTAACACAAAATTTAAAAATGGAACACTGGGTAAGGGTGGTGCAAGCCTTTAATCCCAGCACTCAGGAGGCAGGGGCAGGCAGATCTCTGGGTTCCAGGCCAGCCTGGTCTACAGAGTCAGTTCCGGGACAGGCAGGACTACATGGGAAAACCCTGTCTTGAAAAAAAAAATTAAATGAATGTACAAGTAGCAAGACCTTGTCTCAGTAAAATAAAATAAGATAAAAAAGTAAAGATATAGGTGGGTATGTGCATGCCATGGCACACTTGTAGAAGTCAGAGGACAACGTATGTGAATTGATTCTCTCCTACCATGCCTGTTGGGGGGATTGAACTCAGGCCCTCAGCCTTAGCAGCAAATGCCTGCATCTCACCAACACCCTTGCAACACTGTTAAACACTCGCTTATGAAAAGAGATCATGTAACAGGCTGTCATATATTGTCGAGCTAATGACAGCCCAGTCATCTTCCCTTGTGGAGGAGGAGCCTCTCTAGTCTAGTTTGTTGGGCATATGTGTGGTCTGTGCACAACATAGAGCTATAGATCTGTGCATGTGTGTGCAGGTGCATCATGTATGGTATCTTCCTCAGCTGTTTGTCCACTTTCTATTTTTCGTACTTAAAAAAAATCTTTAAATGATTTAAAATATAATTTAAATTTTAAAAGTATAATTTGAATTATAAAGGCATGTGGTGGTGCACGCCTTTAATCTCAGCACTCAGAGGCACACACAGGCAAATCTCTGAGTTAAGGGCCAGCCTGGTTTACAGAGTGCGTTCCAGGACCAGTGCTGGAGATAGAACTCGGGTTCTCTTGGGCCCTCTACAAGCACAGTGCATGCAGTTTTTTTTTTAAAGACTTATTTAATTTTTTGTGCATTTGTGTTTTATCTGCAAGTATGTGTGTGTCAGATCCCCTGGAACTTGAGTTACAGACAGTTGTGAGCTGCCATGTGGCTGCTGGGAATTGAACCTGGGTCCTCTGGAATGGCTGTCAGTGTTCTTAGCTGCTGAGTCATCCCTCCAGCCACTCCACAGCATTGCTGGGGACAGGACTTCTCAGTGGGAGATGGAGCTCAGCATTTCAGCTAGACTGCCTAGCCAAGCAGTCCCCGGATCTGCCTGTCTCTGCCCCCTAGAACCGGAGTTGCAGATGCATGCACTATGCCCAGCTTTTACATGGGTTCTCAGGCTATGAACTCGTTCCTCATGCTTACACAGCAAATGCATTACCCATTGAGCCATCTCCCCAGCTCCTGAACCCCAGTTTTGATAAAAATAATAATGAAGTTGAACAAATCACATCAATAAATATAGGTGGTATATTTATATTTAAGCAAAAGCAGGAGCTGTGTGACAGTATGGGTTCCAGGGCTTCTACCCTAGGCTAGGGATGCAGGGCATAGATGTTTAGTTAGAAACAGCAGGGCTCTTTCCAAAGCTCCATGTAAGGGAACCTGAGGTCACCGTCCGTCCCCCACGCTACAGAGTAAAGTGACCGTTGTTTTCTTTTGGGTGGACAGGGCACCTTCTCGGGACAGGCTGATAAATCTTGCATTTTGATTCTTTTTGTCAGGGAAAGTTCCCCAAGGGTGACAGAGCTGAAGACGGTTTTCATGGACTGTCACCAGTGAGCGCTTTTCCCCCACAGAACAACTATGGTGAGACCTCCTATTGTACAGTGTCTGACAAGGTGGACGAGGAAAATCTCCCCCGGGCATCTGGTGGGTGGAGAGAGTCCCCTACTCCCCCATCTAATGACCTACTGCTACGCTGAAGGACTATACGACCTCATGGGCAATGTGTGGGAATGGACGGCGTCCACATACCAATCTGCTGGCCAGGATATGCGTGTCCTCCGGGGGGCATCATGGATCGACACAGCTGATGGCTCAGCCAATCACCGGGCTCGGGTCACCACCAGGTAAGGATCTTAGGTCAGGGCACCACAAGTCTCTGTAACCATGGCTGAGGGTGTGGATGCTGGGCTCCTGGGTCCAAGTGATCCAGAGCTGGCACAGATGCTGCTTCTGCACCCCATCCCAGTTCTTTACTCCAATCCCTTTCTTGCTCACCTCTTTCAGTATTTTTTTTAATATATTTATTTATTATGTATACAATACTCTGCGTGTATGTCTGCAGGCCAGAACAGGGCACCAGACCCCATTACAGATGGTTGCCGGGAATTGAACTCAGGACCTCTGGAAGAGCAGGCAGTGCTCTTAACCTCTGAGCCATCTCTCCAGCCCCCTTCTCCAGTATTGTAGGTCACACCCCTCACCCTTCTTGCACCTCCTGCCTCCACTGAAAGTTCTAAGAGAAACAAGCCAGTACTTACTGCTGACCATGGGAAGTAAACATGGGTCCCCAAGACAGTCTGGGGACCCCTTCCTGAGACTCAGCAGCAGTAAGGGAACTTTCTGGCAACCTCACACTATAGGGTCCCTTCTCACATAGAACAGGGCAGAGGGAAGGAGACAGAATTGTACATGAGTAGGTCACAGCCGGGAGGCATGAGCTAACCTACTCACTGAGCTGCTGCATGCACTCACTGCTTAGAGTCATTTGTCAGGGAGGTGTTGGGACTGCTCATCTCATATGGTGCGGTCAGTGGTGGCTGAATTCCAGCCTTCAGGACGTCTGATTCACTCACTGTAGGTTTGGTTTGTTCGGCCTTGGCCAAGGCTCCTCAGGCTTTGTAGTTTCAGGTTGTAGGTTTGGAAGATGGTGAGGCCCTGCCTGCCAGAGCAACTAACTACGTGTATCAGTCAGGATTCTCTAGAGTAACAAAACTTACAGAATGAATCGTTATCTATCTATCTACCTATCTTTCTATCTATCTATCTATAGCTTTATAAAGGGAATTTTTTTAGAATGACTTACACACTGTGGTCCGGCTAATCCAATAATGGCTGCCTGCACAGAAGGTCTAAGAATCCAGTAATTAATTGTTCAGTCCATGAGACTGAATGTTTCAACTGGTCTCCAGTATACACTGGAATCCCAAAGAAGTAGGCTCTCATGCCAGTGAAGGAATGGACTTGCTAGCAAAGTAAGAGCAAGCAGGCAGGGAACAAAAACTTCCTTCTTCCCTGACCTTGTACAGGCTTCCAGCAGAAGGCGTGGCCCAGAACAGAGGTGGGTCTTCCCACCTTAAAGATGCGAATGAGAAGTGGATCTTTCCACTTCAAATTAAGCAAAAATCCCTCACAGCTGTGCCCCTTCACTTTTGAGTTTTAGTTAATTCCAGATGGAGTCAAATTGGCAACCAAGAAATAGCCATTACCTGCTGTGAAACTCATTTCTCACCTAAAAGTGTATTGAGCTTAGAGTAGGAACTACTTACCCTTCAGTGGTCATTAAGATCATCTTCCAGCCGGGTGGTAGAGGCGCACGCCTTTAATCCCAGTACTTGGGAGGCAGAGGCAGGCGGATCTCTGTGAGTTCAAGACCAGCCTGGTCTACAAGAGCTAGTTCCAGGACAGCCTCCAAAGCCACAGAGAAACCCTGTCTCAAAAAACAAAAACAAACAAACAAACAAACAAAAAATCATCTTCCATTGCAATCTTTTGTGGCTGCTCAGCTCCCCATTTTGTCCCCTTACCCATCGTAGTACAGTAGCTGAACTTGCCTTCAGACCAACTGCATTAGTTACTATTTTACGGCTGTGCAGAGACACCATGACCAAGGCAACTCTTATGAATGAAAGCATTTAATTGAAGGCTTGGTTGCAGTTTTAGAGTCTTAGTCCATGATCATTGTGGCCAGAAGCAGACCGGCATAGCACTGGAGCATTAGCTGAGAGCTTTACATCCTGATCCGCAGGCAGAGAGAGGAGAGACACTGGGCCTGTTGTGGACTTTTGAAACCTCAAAGCCACCCCGCTTGTGACACACTTCCTCCAAGGAGGCTACACCTACTCCAACATGGCTATCCCTCCTAATCCTTCTTAGATAGTTCCACTGCCTGGGGACAGGGCATTCAAATAGACGAGCCTATGGGGGCCACCACACTGGCTCTCTTCCCAGCAGACCCCATCCCCAACAGCGTGCACACTCTCTCCCTGTTCTACCACAGGATGGGCAACACTCCAGATTCAGCCTCAGACAACCTGGGCTTCCGCTGCGCCTCCAGCAAAGGCCGACCGAAGGAGGATCTGTAAGCATCCAGGCAGGAATGGAGAAAGCCCTCCTTGGTCCTGTGTCTCCCTGCCCACGTTCCAGAGGCATCGGATACCAGGTTCTTTGTCAGCCTGCAGGTGGCCTCCCTTTGAGCCTGTTCTCAGGCAGAGGCCTCCTAAGGGCAAAAGAACACTCAACCCCTACAGGGGACTGCCATGGCCTGCAGAGGAGGGCCTGGATGATCATGGCTGGGAGCTGGGTGTCTCTGAAGTGCGGGATTACGGACAAAGGACCCCAGCGCTCTGCTATCTGGGGCAGTTCTCCAAAAGACAGTGGAAAATCGCTCCCTCTCAGTCAGGTGGTGGTGGCACACGCCTCTAATCCCAGCACTCGGAAAGCAGAGGCAGGCGGGTCTCTGTGAGTTCAAGGCCAGCCTGGTCTACAGACTGAGTTCTAGGACAGCCAAGGCTACACACACACACACAAAAGAAAACCTGTTTGGGGGGGCGGGGGTCTCTTCCTTTTCTTTCTTCCTCTCCAATTCAGCTTTCAGTTCTCCTGGGAAAGTTCGTAGAAGGAAAATGCTTTCTTTATGTGATGGTGCCCACCAAAGCCTCCCTGTCTGTTGTTTACCAACAAGGTGTTCACCATGTGACAAGGTGGGTCTCCAACTCTCAGTCCTCTGACCTCAGCTTCCTGAGTGCTGCAGTTATACACAGGACCCAGTATTAAATCACTCTATAGTAGAGAATTTACCAGGTGAAGCTGTGCATTGTGGGAGTAACAAGTTTCGAGCTCTCCTAGAAAGGCAAATGCCATAAGCTTCTCCTCTGGGTGTTAATCATGTAGGGGCTTCCATGCACTTCTGCAAACATGCAGATGTGTCTCTGGAGAAGCACTGGTTTCCACGGTGTCGATGGATCTCATGAAGTCAATAAACTCTGCATTTGTGTATATCGTAGAAGTCCTTTTTTTTTTTTTTTTTTTGGTTTTTCGAGACAGGGTTTCTCTAAAGCTTTGGAGCCTGTCTTGGACCTCGCTCTGTAGACCAGGCTGGCCTCGAACTCACAGAGATCCGCCTGTCTCTGCCTTCTGAGTACTAGGATTAATGGTGTGCACCACCACCGCTTGCAAGGTACACTGTTTGAGACAGGGTCTCATGTAGTACAGGCTGGCCTCAAACTCCTTGTATAGCCAAGAATGGCCTTGAGCTCCTGATCATCCTTCTGCCTCCACTTCCTCAGTTATCAGTAACCTTGGGCCCATGAAGAAACTGAGATGGGGGCTGGAGAGATGACTTAGCATTTAAGAGAACTTGTGCTTACAGAAGAGGGGTTCAGTTCCTACCACCCACATGGTGGTCCCCAACTATCCGGAACTTCAGTTTCAGGGCATCTGACACCCTCTTCTGACCTCCACAGGTACTGCAGGTAGGGGGTGCACATAATAAACAGCTGAATGAAGCACACATAAAATACATAAGTCTAAGAAAGGAGAAAAAAACCCAAGACCTATGAAGGTGCACAGTCGAGAAGCCAGTAGGCCTCTAGCTCCCAAAGCACATGTGCTCTCTGCCCTTCCACTCCTGCCTGGCACGGCCTCTGCTGCATTGGATCCATCTATCTGTCTATCAATCTATCATCTACCTATCTATCACCTATCTATTAATCTATCATCTGTCTATCTATCTATCTATCTATCTATCTATCTATCTATCTATCTATCTACTTTTGTCATACCAGGGGTTGAACTTGGGGCCTTACACTCACCACGGAGTTACATTCCCGGCCCTGTTTTTATTTTGAAGCAACCAACACTAAGCTGCCTAGGTTGTCCTGGAACCTGGGATCCTGTTGCCTCAGGACAACAGGCACAGGCCACCACACCCAGCCCTAGCTGTAATTACTGCTGTTTAATGGGAACACCCTGTGCTATTAGTGGGGTGCACAGAGTAGGGCCACCTGCAACGACGCAGAGGATTCTTTGGGGACTCCACAGTTCTGGGGGTGTCCTACTACCCTCAGAAGTCCTCCTCCTCGGCCAAGGAGAGGAGCACTGCCTTGGGTGTGTTCTCGAAGAGGGCAGCTCTATTCTGCTGCTGCCCTTTCTTCACCCAGTGACCGTAGATTCGGAAAGCGTAGGCGTCGATGAGCTTACGAAGAGGCCTCAGCGCGTAGGGGTCTCGGATGACGATCTCCCTGGTTATGGGCTTCAACCGACGGTACTGGTAGTAGATCCTTACAGAGGCCAGCACGGTTAGGCATATCACCTGCAGGGGGCAGCACCGAGAATAGAATCCTCAGCCCGCAGCTGAGTTTGTCAGAAAACCCATGAGGGATTTCAGGGTGCCGTTCATGATGCCCCCTATTTCCAGACCACAGTATCTACAGGGATTTAGGCTAACAGGGTCACTTAGCTGACATCCCCTGCAACGAGAAACTGAATTGGAACAGTGGGTACAAGAAGAGGAACAATTTGCCCAGTGGTAGTGGTGCGCACCATTAATCCCAGCATTTGAGAGGTAGAGGCAAGCGGATCTCTGAGTTCAAGGCCAGACTGGTCTACAGAGTGAGTTCCAGGACAGAGTACCCCAGGAGCCAACAGCAAAATCCCCCAAGACTGCTGGGCCAAGTTAAGTCTCAGTACCTTGAACTTCCCTCGGGGACTGAAGTGCCGCACTTCCTCCACCACGTACTGCTGGAAGAACGGGTGCGCCAAAGCCTCTTCTGCCGAGCAGCGGTCCTGGGGTTTCACCACCAAGAAGCGAGACACCTGTGAGAACAGAAGGGCACTGAGGCTCCCCAGCAGCGTTTCGGAAGACGCAGGATGTGATGGTCAGTCCTTACTGCCAACTTGATAGAATTTGGAACCACAGTGAAAACAGATCTCTGGGCGTCTGTGAGGGATTAGTTAGATGGGTGGAGGTGGGAAGATTTCACCCTCAATGTGGGTGGCACCATTCCCTAGGCTGGGATCCTGGACTGAATAAAAAGGAGAAAGCGAGCTGAGAACTAGCATCCGTCTCTCTCTGCTTCCTGACTTTCTGACTGTGGATGCCACGTGGCCAGTGTCCTCACACACCTGGAGCCATAAAGCATGAGCCAGAATTAACCCTTCCTTCCTTAAGTTGCAAAAAAAAAAAAAAAAAAAAAAGATTTATTTATTTAGTATGCATACACCGTTCTGTCTGCATGTATGCCTGTGGGCCAGAAGAGGGCACCAGATCTCATTATAGATGGTTGTGAGTCACTATGTGGTTGGTGTGGTTCCTGGGAATTGAACTCAAGAACTCTGGAAGAGCAGTCAGTGCTCTTAACCTCTGACCCACCTCTCCAGCTTCTTAAGTAGCTTTTGCTAGTTTTTTTTTGAGGGTTTTTTTTGTTTTGTTTTGTTTTTTGTTTTTTAGCAGCAATGAGACAAATACAGATGGCTCCCTCCTTGAAATTCCTCCACTCTGGGGTATGCTCCCAGTATTGGGGAGCTGGTGGGCATGGCCTCTCACCAAGTCTTTCACTGTGTCTGAGTAGTCATCCCATTCTGGTGAGCCAAACTGGTATTTGCCGTCCACAATCATCCTCAACATCAGCATCTGCTTCCGGTGCCAGAAGGGTGGGGAGCCAGCCAGGAGCGTGTACATGATGACGCCAGTGCTCCACCTGGAAGTTGCTGGAGACTCAGGTCACTCTAAAGCCTCATGGGTAAGGGAGGCGTGCAGGAGCGGCTGGCCACGGGTCCAGCTAGAGTTGTGACCCCCCTCCCCCCATCTACCCGGTTCACTCACATGTCCACCTCCTTCCCATAGCCAGGATGGCTGTCGTCCATGGAGCACTGGATGATTTCGGGGGCCAGATAAATGGGGGTCCCGCAGACCTCTGCAGGAACAGTCACCTATCAGGACAGGTCGACGGGGGCCCTTGGGAGAAGTTACCCAAGGCAGCCAAGGGACAGGCGAGAAGAGGGCTTGGCAGGGCTCCCCTATTTCACACTCAAGGGTAGCATCACGGTACACAGGCTCACAAGGCCACCCGTGGATTCCTCGGTCCTTCTGGGCACCCTGGCATGGTGCTCAAGCTGGGGAAACCTAGGTCTGTGGAGTCCTAGGAAGAGGACTTGACTCAAGAGTCATCTAGTCTCTGAAGTAGGATATTTTTTAGATTTATTTTTACTATACATTGTGTGTGTGTGTATCTGTATGTGGGTATGTGCACACAGGAAAAGTCCTCAGAGATCAGAAGAGTCTGATCCCCTAGAACTGGAGTTATAGGTGACTCTGAAAGTCTCCCTGTGTGGGTGCTGAGAACTGAAACTTGGGTCTTCTACATAAGAAATACATGTTCTTTTTTTTTCTTTGAAATTCACGTATTTGGATGTCTTGCCTATATCCTATCTGTGTATCATATGTGCCTGAGGCCCAAGGAAGCGAGAAGAAGGTGTGGGATCCCATGGAATTGGAGTTACAGACAGTTGTGATCAGCAATGTGGATGCAGGGACTCGAACCTAGGTTCTCTGGAAGAGGTACTCTTGACTGCTGAGTCATTTCTGGGATGTGTGTGTGTGAGGTGAAAGCCGGGAGTCAATGTCAGGTGTCTTTATCTTGTTTTTGAGGCAGGGTCTCTCCCTGGCCTGGAGCTGGCTGATTCAGGTAGACTAGCTGGCCAGCGATCCCCAGGTTTGCTCCCAGCCGCCTGTCCAGTGCTGGAGTTACATGGGCTCTAAGGATTCAAAGTCAGGTCGTCATGCTTATGTATGTATCCCATTTTACCCACTGAACCATCTCCTCAGCCACTGAGGGGGCAGAGTTTTTATTCTGGGGAGACATTCAGGCCATTTCCATCCCTGACGCCCCTCTATGGGCCACGGCCATGGTACCAGACCTCGGAGCCTCTCTCCTGGCTTCAGCTGGCAGGAAAACCCAAAGTCTGTGAGCTTGATGTTCATGTCATCATCTAGAAGGATGTTCTCCGGCTTCAGGTCCCGGTGGACAATGTTGAGTTTGTGCAGGGTGCAAATCACCTCCAGCAGGGCCCGCATGATCTTTCTGAGGAGGCAGATACATGGCAATGGTTTATTTTTATGTTCTTTAGTTTCTCATTGGTTTTTTTTTTTCCTGAGGCAGGGTTTTTCTGTGTAGCAGCCCTAATTGTCCTGCAACTAGCTCTTGTAGACCAGGCTAGCCTTGAACTTACAGAGATCCACCTGCCTCTGCCTCCCAGGAGCTGGGATTAAAGATGGGCATCATCACTGCCAAGTGGCCTATTTTTTTAATAGATTGTATGTATGTATTATTTAATGTGTTTGTGTATGCCTGAGTGTACATATATGCACCACATTCATATAGTGCTCAGGGTAGTCAGAAGACATCAGATCCTTTAGAACTAGAATCACAGGCATTTGAGCCACTGGTCTGGGGTACTGGGCACCAAACCTAGGTCCTCTGAGAGAATAGCAAGTGTGCCAGGAGTGCTGGTGCAAGTGTTTACTGTCAACACTCTATAGGCAGAGAGGAGGCAGATCTCTGTGAGTTCAAGACCACCCTCGTCTTCATATCAAGTTCCAGGTCAGACAGGGCTATATAGTGAGACCCTGTCTCAAGAAACAAAAACAAGAGTAACAAGTGCTCTTCCCTGATAAACTATCTCTCCAGACACATTGACTTCGTTTTCGATTCTAGAATTGGACAAACCTTTTCCACACAACAGAACTAAGTGTTCCCCTACACATTACTCTCCACTCATCAGGGATAAGAGGCGGGGAGGCCAAAGCCCATAGACCAACCTCATTGCATGCAATGGGGGAATCCAGGATGGGCTGGGACAGTCTAGGTTCTAGACTGTACATGAGCCAAAGAGCTGGGGGATCAGAGAAGCCAGCATGACCTCAGCTAAACATGCACACCAAGCCTCCTATCCAGGATGGGCTGGGACAGTCTAGGTTCTAGACTGTACATGAGCCAAAGAGCTGGGGGATCAGAGAAGCCAGCATGACCTCAGCTAAACATGCACACCAAGCCTCCTGCCAGACCACTGCCGTGCTGGTTCTATTACTTGGAGAACAGGAAGAGATGGCACACGCCCTTACCTGGTTTCTTTCTCAGTCAAGGTGACCTTCTCAGTGAGGTAGTCAAAGAGTTCCCCTCTCTTCATCCTGTGGGAACAAAGTGTTCCTTACCTGCCCCCAGAACTGTGTTCCCACCCTGACGCCATCAAAGAAGGGGGGGGTGCTGTTTCTCTGAGGACAGGAACCCCAGGGAGGGAGTGGAGGAGCTCTCTGGGAAGAGCTGAAAGAAAAGCAAAAGGCTGAGAAAACGCGAAGTCCCTGTTTATGGAGATGCTTGGCACCCTGGGAATTCGTCAGCACCGGTAGCAGGAGATAGGCATCAGAGTCTCTGGCTCAGGACCCCAGATCAAAAGGACTTGGGAATGTTTTTTGCCAGGAAGCAAATGGCAAGAAATCAACAGTGAAAGTGTCGGGGAAGCCAAGTTTGCCCACTATATGCAAAGAGCCAGCTGCGGCAGCATAAACCTGTAACCCTAGTACTTGGTAAATGGCAGAAGGAGAATCAATCAGGAGTTCAAGACCAGCCTCAGCTACATAGTGACTTGGGCTACATGGAACGCTGTCTCAAAAAATAGAAACTGGGGGGTGGGGGGGTTGGAGAGATGACTCAGAAGTTAAGAGCACTTACTGTTCTTCCGGAGGAGCTGGGTTTGCTTCCCAGCGCCCATGTCAAGCTGCTCACAATTGTCTATAACTTTAGCTCCAGGGGATTCTGAACAGCCTCTGGCCTGCACAGGCACGTGCACTCGCTTGCACATACCCACACATAGATACACACACACATCCTCACCTAATTAAAGATCATATATACAAATGGTTTAAGCCAGACGGTGGTGGCTCACGCCTTAATCTCAGCACTTGGGAGGCAGAGGCAGGCGAATCTCAGTGAGTTTGAGGTCAGCCTGGCCTACAAAGTGAGTTCCAGGATAGTTAAGACTGTTACACAGAGAAACCCTGTCTTGAAAAACCAAATAAATAAATAATGCCCAGTCATGGTGGCGAAGGCTTTAACCCCAGCCCTTGAAAATGCCCTATTGGCTTACCTACAGCTGGACCTCATGGAGGTATTTTCTTTTTTTTTTTTTAAGATTTATTTACTTATTATGTATACAACATTCCTTCCATGTATGCTTGCATGCCAGAAGAGGGCACCAGATCTCATTACAGATGGCTGTGAGCCACCATGTGGTTGCTGGGAATTGAACCTCTGGAAGAACAGTCAGTGCTCTTAACCTCTGAGCCATCTCTCCAGCTCCTGGAGGCATTTTCTTAATTGAGGCTCTGTCCTCTCCAGGGACTGTGGCTTGTGTCAAGTTGACATAAAACTACCCAGCACAGGGTGTCCTCTCTGTACGTCACAGCCAATGTAAGGAAAGGATTTGCTTGAGACAACTGACAGCCTTGTGGTGTTGAAACATTTCCGATTGTAGCTGCTGAATCCTTCAATATTTTCTGTTTCCTCTCTTCTCTCATTATTTATATAAGAAACAATTGAGACAAGGACCCATACTGCTGCCCAGGCTAACCTCAAAGCCATACCAGTAATCCTCCTGCTTCACCCTCCTGCGTGCTTGGATTATAGGACTGTGCGGCTGTGCCCACTTTTATCTTCCATTTAACCACAGGATGGGCTGCTAGGCCCCCTCTTGTCTTGCTGTAATCATCCCTGCTGTATTCACAGGGCCCTGTCCTGAATAACCTCTGGGGGCAGCTCAAATATCTTTAACCTTTAGAGAGGTGGCTTGGAGAAGCTATTTTTACTGGTGTCCCAAGGAGCCCTACAGGGTAAAACCAGATTGCTCTAGCAGTGACCACATTCTAGATCAGAAAGCTAAAGACTGAATTGAATATTTTTGGTTTTGTTTTTGTTTCCTGAGATGAGGTGTGGCTCTGTAGCACAAGCTGGCGTCAAACTTCTGATCCTTTGGTCTCAGCCTCCTAAGAGCTGGTATGGCAGATACGTGCCACCAAGCCCAGTTTTGAAGAGCAAGCCTTTTTCTCCTCCCTTCTCTTCCATCCTGTTCTCCCTCCCCTCCCACCCACTTCCTTCTTTCCTTTGCTTTTGAGATAGGGTCTCAGTGTACTCTGATTGGCCGACTCACTATGTAGATCAGACAGGCCTCAAACTCACCAAGATTCACCGTCTTCTGCCTGCCAAGTGCTGGGATTAAAGGCATGTACCACCATGCCCTGAGGAAAATTTTTATTTTCTCCCTCCCTTCCTTCCTCTCTCCCTTCCTTCATCATCATAATTGTTATTATTACTATTTGGTATTTTTCAAGACAGATTTTTTTTTCTCTGTGTCTTAGAACTCACTCTGTAGTCCAGCTGGCCTCAAACTCAGAGATTTGGCATTTTTTTTTAAATGCTTATTTATTTTACTATATATACAACATTCTGTCTGTGTGTATGCCTGCAGGCCAGAAGAGGGCACCTGATCCCATTACAGATGGTTGCGAGCTGGGAATTGAACTCAGGACCTTGGGAAGAGCAGGCAGTGCTCTTAACCTCTGAGCCATCTCTCCAGCCCCAAATTTTTTTCCAAATAGAAACTGATGGTAAGTCCCCAGTGCACAGTTCCCATGCGCTTTGTGTAGTTGTTGTTGTTCCCTTTTGGTTTTTGAGACAGGGTCTTGTCCAGGGTGGTCCGATACTCAGCATGTATCCCTGGATGGCCATGAACTTGAAGTAATTCCCCTGTCTCAGTTTCTGAGAGCTGAGATTATAAGCATGTGCCACTAGCCTGGCAGTGGTGGCATAGACCTTTAATCCCAGCACTTGGGAAGCAGAGGCAGGTAGATCTCTGTGAGTTCAAGGCCAGCCTGGTCTATGGAAATAGTTCCAGGACAGCCAGGGCTATACAGAGAAACCCTGTCTCAGAAAACCAAATAAAACAAAACAAAAACAACAACAACAACAACAACAAAAAACCACAAGCATGTGTCATTATGTCAGGTTTTGTGTTGTTTATATTTGATGCTCTTGTCCCTCATCCTATTGGTGCAAACACAGAGTGATGCTACTGGTCTTTGAACAACACCCTAAATGTCATCTCAGCCACTGGCCTCTCTCTTCCATACCCCTTTTCCACCACCCAGCTGCTCTTTCCACTCTTTCCTCCCTTAATTCATCCCCAGAGACCAACTAGTACCACGAGTGGAGATCACACCTGTAATTTCAGCACTCTAGAGGATGAAGCAGGAGGATCATGACTTCAAGATCAGTCTGGGCTAAGAGCAAGTCTGGCCTTCATAAAGAGGTGTTGCCTCCAACAGAAAAAAAAAAAAAAAAGGAAGAAAGGCCTGGGCAGTGGTGGTGCACTCCTTTGATCCCTGGGAGGCAGAAGCAAGATCTCTGTGGGTTTGAGGCCAGCCCGATCTAGAGAGTTCCAAGACAGCCAGAGCTACACAGAGAAACCCTGTCTCGAAATACCCAAAGACAAAATAAAAAACATATAATCAAATTGAAGCCAGGCATGGTGGCAATGCCTTTTACCACAGTACTTGGGAGTCAGGTGCAGGTGGATCTCTGTGAATTTAAGGCCAACGTGGTCTACAGAGTGTCCAGAGCTACCCAAAAGGATCCTGTCTAAAAGAAATTTTTTAATTAAGAAAATATATGGGGGCTGGAGAGATGGCTCAGCGGTTAAGAGCATTGTCTGCTCTTCCAAAGGTCCTGAGTTCAATTCCTAACAACCACATGGTGGCTCACAACCATCTGTAATGAGGTCTGGTGCCTTCTTCTGGCCTGCAGGCACATACACAGACAGAATATAGTATACTTAATAAATAAATAAATAAATAAATATTAAAAAGGAAAGAAAATATATAACCCATCCATAAGTGGTACTCTAGGTTTCAAAAACTGTCGATTTTGCCGGTGTTTCATCATGGGGGTTGGGGGCTGATGCTGGCTGCCTGACAGCCTGGTGGGGACCCATGAGAGCTCCAGGGTTGGGTACTTACAGATCAAATACCAAGAAGAAGAAAGTGTTGGTCTCGTAAGTGTCCTTCAGCTGTACTGAAATGGAAAAGGCTAGCTGGTCTCAAGGAGCAGAGGAGCCTTGGCATGGGCCACAGGGCACAGGGACCAGGCAGGCTGGCTCCAGAGGCAGGAAGAGGGCAATCACTGAGGTGTGGGAAGGACCCCTTCCTCACCTGCACCCACTCCCAACCCTGTCTGTCCCCACCCTGTCTGAGTAGTGAGGGCGGCACCTGTGACCTCGAGCCTCAACAATGGGCTGGCAGAGTCACTGAACACAAGGTGAAGACGGACGAGTATCGCTGATCACGAGATGGCGCTCGTGCCCTGACTTGGGTGGGTTATCAGGGCAGAAGCACCACAAAGCACACAGCTATGGCTTGTGCCAGGGGTGGTGGGGCAGGAAGGAGCCACTCACTGATGTTGGGGTGCCCGGAGACCTTCTGCAGGATGTCCACCTCCTTCAGTGTGGCTTCCCGAAGCTCCTGTATCTCCTTGGAGCTGAAGCTGCCTCCGCCTGTGATGTCGATGATTTTGACTGCATATTCCTGGCAGGTAGGTTTGTGGATACAGCGCCTGACCACACTGCTGACTCCCCTGTGGGCAGAGAACAGATGGCCGTGGTACCCCACACTCCAGGGGAGTCCCTTACTAAAGGCAGTACAGGGACTAGAGAGAAAGGTCTGTAATTAAGAGCACTTGCTGCTCTTTCAGAGGACCTGGGTACAGTTCCCACATAGTTACTAACACCTGTCTGTAACTCCAAGGGATCTGACACCCACTTCTGACCTGTAAGAACACCAGACATGCATGGAGTACACAAACATACTGGCGAAACACTCATATTCAGAAAATAAAATTAAAATCAATCAGTCAGTCAAAGGCACAGATGTTCTGCCCTGTGTTGTAACACATACTTCTCACCCTAAGCAGAGGAACAAAGGGGAGAGAAATGGGGCCAGGGCTGAGGGTCGTGTCAATCTTTCCCATCATAGGTAAAGCTGAGGTCAGGATTTCCGCAGGGGGTCTGGGTCTTACCTGCCCAGGATCTCCTTGGGCTCATAGTTCTCATAGAAGGTCTGTGCAGAATGGGAGTCAGGGAGGGCCTCATCCCGGGTCATGCTCAGGTGGGTCTCAGGGGGACCTCAAGGGCCTCTGAAAGGGGCGCGGAAAGAAGCGGTCAACTCCCCGCTCCTCCCACTTTTTCTTTCTTTCCTTTCTCTTTTATTCGTTATTTTGTTTGTTTGTTTGTTTGTTTGTTTGAGACAGGGTTTCTCTGTTTAGCTCTGGCTATCCTGGAATTCACTTTGTAGACCAAAATTGGTCTTGAACTCAGAGATTTGCCTGCCTGATTCCCAAGTGCTGAGATTAAAAGCGTGGACCAGTAAGGCCTTTCTTTCTCTTTCTTTGTTTTTGTTTTTATTTTTCAAGACAGGGTTTCTGTGTAACTGCCCTAGCTGTCCTGGAACTAGCTCTTTGAACACCAGGCTGGCCTCAAATTTACAGAGATCTATCCAATCTGCCTCCTGAGTACTGGGATTAAGGGCATGCACCACCACTGCCCGGCTCTTTCTTTCTTTCCTTTTTTTTTCTTTCTTTCTTCCTTTCTTTCTCTTTCTTTCAACTTCTTTATTTAGTATGTATACCATGTTCTATCTGCATGTGTCCCTGCAGGACAGAAGAGGGCACCAGATCTCCTTACAGGTGGTTGTGAACCACCATGTGGTTGCTGGGAATTGAACTCAGGACCTCTGGAAGAACAGTCAGGCTCTTAACCGCTGAACCACCTCTCCAGCCCCCATCTTCTTTTTTTAAAGATTTTTTTAAAAAAGTATATAGGACTGGGCTGTGGTGGTGTCTTTTTTTTTTTTTTTTTTGATACAAAGTCTCATATAGCCCTGGCTGACCTAGAACTTACTATGTAGACCAGGCTGGCCACTGTCCTGGAACTCACTCTGTAGGCCAGGCTGGCCTCAAACTCACAAAGATCTGCCTGCCTCTGCCTCTGGAGTGCTGGGATTAAAGTTGTGCACCATCACTTCCTGGCTCTGTTATTTTTATTTTTAGGTGCTGGGGGATAGAACCCAGAGCCTTACACATGCCAGACTCAAACACTGAGTTACACCCTCAGCCCAGAGTCAGGGTGGTCAGGCTTGGATGTGGAGAAGCTAAGCTGACCCATCTTGCCCCAGGAACATAGAGGCTCCTACCAGGAAACTGAACTCCTGCTCCAGACCCAGGGCTTGAGAAAGGCAGAATATCACCCAGCAATAGGAAGAGGCAAGCAGGCAACAGCATATGCTTCCAGTCCACTTGTGTGAGCCCCAGAAAGCCTGGTGTCCCAAGGGGCCCGATTTGCTGACCAGACACGCAGCAGTCCTGTTGCTGGCTGTTGCTGGAAGCCTGGTGTCCCAGATTCTGGGTGCCTGGTTACCAAGGGAAGGTTTAGAATAACAACTTTCTCCTTTGCCAATAACAGGAACCTGGCCTGTTTGCACATAACAGCCAACAGAACCTGAAGATGTTAGTTCCCCTCAACAACCAGCCTGTTTGCTGAAAGGTCATTCTAAAGCTCCAAGAAGGGCATTTGTGACCCTCATTTATTATGACAGTTACACCACATCCCTTGCATAAGCATAGAGCAATTCTGGGTCCACACCAGACCAAGATGCCATCCTGAGCCAGGCTGGCTACATTCACATTTTCTGATAATGTGTGTGTCCATCTCCCTGTTCCTAGGGCTTGACTGGAGTCAACAATGGTTGTCTATTTACTGCTTCATTAGCCCTTTACACTTGTTCTTACACTCACTGTAGAGGGGAGCATTCTAAAGAAAAGTAGGTGGTCCAAAGTTCTGAAACCTACTATCCCTCTCAGAAAGCTGGTAAAAGGGCATAACCAGCTGTGTGCTCGACGGGTGTTCTGAGAACCCATGGTCTCCCAGGTCTGAAGAGAAATGGGTCACACAGATTTGAGGCTTTATGTCCTTGCCTCAAAACCCCACAGCTTCCCGACTGTTGCCTCGTTACTCACCGTTATGTCCTTGCAGGCTCTTAAATGAAAATAACAAGAATTCCAAGGTCCTGGAGCCCTTCGGAGACTGGGGATCGTGAAGGACTGAAGCAGTGCCGTGAGCAGCCACTTATGCTTGGAGTTGCTAGCTTTTTCTACTTCTGGGGCTTGGTACTTGGTGATGGAAGGCTGGCCTGCCAAAAATAAACCACAACTGCAAACCCGGGATGCAGGCCAAGGTCCAGTAGGGAGAGGCCTGGGACGAAACAGCATCAGGGCCACCACCTGGTGGAGGCTAGGGGAAGTTCAAGTGGCTTGGGATCAGGCAAAGCCTTTTCGTAATTTTCATTATGTGTATGTGCACACATGAATGCACGTACCCAGAGAGGTCAGGGGTGCTGGCTTTCCCTGGGGCTGGAGTTATAGATTATTTTAGCCACATGACGTGGGTGCTGGAAATCAAACTCTGGAAAAGCAGCGTATGACCTTACTGGATGAACCAGTTCTCCAGCTGTTTTTTGTTTTTAAGATTTATGTGTATGATGCCAGGTGGTGGTGGCACACACCTTTAATCCCAGCACTCGGGAGGCAGAGGCAGGAGGATCTCTGAGTTCCAGGCCAGCCTGGCCTACAAAGCGTGTTCCGGGACAGTCAGAGCTACACAGTGAAATACTGTCTCGAAAAACAAACCAACAAATTATGTGTATGGATCTTTTGCTGGCAGTATGTTATGTGCACCACAGCAAGGTCTTACACCCTCAGAGGTCAGAAAAGGGCACTGGATCCCCTGGAACTGGAGTTATAGACTCTTGTGAGTCAGTATGAGTCTGGGAAACTGAACGCAGGTCCTCTGAAAGAGCAGCAACTGTTCAACATGAGCCATTCATCTCTAGAGCCTGCAAACATCAACTCTGAAAGGAGCACACTGTTGTTTTTAAGTCTTGCTACACAGCCCTGACTACCCTCAAATTTGCTCGCCTGCCTCTGCCTGTGTTGGGATTACTGGTAGACACCACCAAGCAAGGCAATGACCTTTTACTTCTCCTGGGATTGAGCGCTACATTTGACTCAGCCACATGTGAGACAGACTGGCTCAAACTTGTTCCAATCTTCTTGCCTGCTTCCTAAGTACTGGGATTACATGGACCACCATGCCCAGTCTGGTTTAAAACTGGAGCACTCCCTGAAGAATAAGGCTAGAGCTTGGAGCACTGGGATGAGCTTTCCTGAGGTGCTGGGCTTAATACCAAGCATAGATGGTGTGTGGGCTTAGCCTAGTTTTGCAAGTAGAAATATCCAAACTACAGAGAAAATACTTGTACAGAGGATGGTTTTAAACTGTATATGGCAGCACAGGCCTCTAATCCCAGCACTTGGGAGGTCAATGCAGGATAGTCAGTTAGGCCGATTTGGACTACATAGGGAAAGCCCTATCTCAAAGGGAAACAAAACAAAGGGTGGTGGTGGCGCACGCCTTTAATAAAGCACTTGGGAGGCAGAGGTAGGAGGATCTCTGTAAATTTGAGGCCAGCCTGGGCTACAGAGTAAATTCCAGGACAGTCTCCAAAGCTACAGAGAAACCCTGTCTCTCACCCCCACCACAAGCAGTGTGAGGCCATGCTCTGACCAGTATGCACAGTATGTCTTTGCTATAGTAATAAAAACAGGGATCCTTGGTGGGTGTGCTTGCCTGCAGGATTTCACATTGCTATGCACCAAGTACAAGTTTATGGGGCCCTGGAGCAGCTAAAATCATTTAAATGAGCAACATGATTGACAGAGCTATACGAAGTAACAACTAAATTTCATGGCTGGGGGTCTTGATAACATGAGGAAGTGTATTGAAGGGTCCAGCATTAGGAAGGCTGAGAACCACTAGACTAGACGAATCAAAAGATGTGCTGATATAGCTGTGGCCTTGTACAAACTCCATTATGTTGAGAAAGCACATAAAACTCATGACCCCACAATAAGGATAAGAACCACACCTCAGAATAAAACAGTTTATTTTCATTAACTCACAAAAAAACAATACAGTTGGTTCAAGGAGGCCATTGCTTGCCCAGTCCCTAACACTATGAGCCTCAGGGAATAATATCTATACAGTTAGAACTCCTTCGTGGCTGCTCTGAAGCAATGGAGCCGTTAGAAATAGGAGGTTTACTCAGGGTCCACACGTGCACTATTATGTGGGGCCCACTTCAATTTCTTCAGTTTGAACTTCTTGATTAAATTAAACCTGTTAAAAGAAAAGGTTAAGTCAGATGATAACCAACAAGGCCCAGATATACTGTCTACTTTTCCAAGACAATTAAGTTTTCCTTCAATCAAACTTCAATTCTACCATTAATACAATGAAGACTGATGTCTTTGTTTTTAGAGAAAAGGCCTGAAGCAGAAATTTAGCTAAAGAGTTTAGCACTCAGAAGGCAGAGGCAGGTGGATCTCTGAGTTCGAGGCCAGCCTGCTCTACAAGACAGGCTTCAAAGCTACAGAGAAACCCTGTCAAAAAAAAAAAAAAAAAAAAAAAAAAAGAAAGAAAGAAAGAAAGAAAAGAAAAGAAGAGAAAAAGAAAAAAGATAAAAAGAAAAAAAAAAGCTCTAATCATTTTGGGCCAAGTATCACCTCTCTCCCCCATAGGGTGGGAAAACAAAACCAAGCACTGTTGTAAGTCAGTGAACTGCTGAAATGACAAGGGAAACCACAGAACTAATGTGACTGCCAACCCTCCAGTAATTCCAATCAGGAGCTTTACTTGGGGTCTTCACTCCAAAACCCCACAGGAGTGAGGACTATCAACTACTCAGGGCAGATGACAGGACACCTACCATTTGCAATTCTGCACTGCCGCAGCACCTCGTTGAAGCCCTCGCAGAGCTTGACATCACTCTGGTTCTGGGCACACTCAAGGAACTGTTTGATCTCAAGAGAGCAAGGTTCAAAAGACTGCTGGTTCAGCACCTGGGCTCCCTGAGGCTCCTGCCAAGACACAACATTAAGTATGAGAAGTTTGCTCAGTACACACAAGGCTCTGGACTTGATTCTAACATTGTAAACATAAAAAAGAAAAACAACAACAAAACTGAAACAGAACCAGGAGGTGGTGGTGTACAACTTTAATCCCAGCACTCAGAGGTAGAGACAGGTGGAACTGTGTTCTAGGCCAACCTGTTCTACAGAACTACTTACAGGACACGAAAGCTCCCCCCCCTGCAACAAATAAGATCTTCTAGCGCCTGCACTACGGTATGGCTCGCAAGTCGGGCAAGGGGTTGGTTGGAGATTGGAAAATACACAACAGAGAGAGAGAGAGACAGACAGACAGACAGACAGACAGACACACACACACACACACACAGGGGTCATCCTTCAAACAAGAATGCCCCCTTTATTGTGCTCAGGGCAGCTTATATAGCCACAGTCCAGCTCTCGGGATCTTTCAGCTGCAGGCCCACCAGAAATCACTCCCCTGCCATCAGGCTTGTGCTCACAGCAGCAGCAAGCATAGGAAAAACAAGCTGTTTACTCTAGCACAGGAAATTCAGGGTCTGGGGGTTCACAGTCCCCAACAAGTTCTATCAAAACAAACAACAAACCTGGCCAGGAACTAAATAGTATGTGTGCTTTGTTCAGGGACTGAACCCCAGCACCGTAACATACAAAAAGAAAAGCCATTCTTAAGGAAAAAGAGGACTACTATCAGAAAGAGATGAACGAGAACTTCAAATGCACCACCTTTCAAGAGATTACATGCTCCTTACTACATACAAAACCCACAAGAGGGCAAAAACGATCAGATCAGGGATCACAGGCTGTGAACGGGACTTGTGATTATCTAACTGAGACTGAACTGAAAGGCTAGGCCTCATGGCTGTAACTCCAATGCTTGAGAAGCCAACTAAGGAGACAGCTACAAGCTTGGAGCCAGCTTTGGTCACACACTGAAGACTCTGTCTCCAAGTGAAGCATAGGAATCCAGTGTAGCCAAGATAAACCTTTAAAGCCAAGGCAGGAATGCCATAAGTTCAAGGTTAGCTTGAGTCAGATTCTCTCAAAAACAAAAATCACCTAAAGAGAAAATGGCCATTTTACAGTAAGATGGGCTGGAATGGGACAATTCCAGTCTGCTCTACTTACTGGTGCTCGCCTAAGGGTCTAACTCAAACCACACTATGTGTGAGATGCTCACACGAGTGTGTGGATGGGTGTGCACACAGGAGGCCAACCAAGACAGGGGTGCCTTCCCTCTACCACTCTCCATCCTATTGCAGTGAGGCAGGACATCTCACTGAAACCCGTCATTTCATCTCTACTGCTGGCTAGCCAGGCTGTGTATCTGCTCATCTCCCCTCCACAATGCAGGAGATGCAGATATGGTGGCTATGCCTGACTCTTTGTGGGTTCACGGGATTTGAACTCAGGTCCGCACGGCTTCAGAGTAAGTGCTTACTCACTGAACCATACCCCCAGCAAACCCCTACTTTAAAGGGGGGTGGGATGGGGAACCACTTTGTACTGCACTCCTAAAATTAAACACAGGGTCCTACGCAAAAGATGTTTACCAGCTGCCAAGTTCTCTCAGAAGATACAAGCACACAAAGGAAAAGCGGCCCCAAATCTTACCTGGTAAGTGATGTCAGGCCTCGCGGGTTCAGCATTGCCACCTCCACTGAAGGCCCCAGTGACGGCATGGCCCAGGGTGTGGCCCACTGCAGAGCCCACAGCCACACCGGCTGCAGTGGTCGCCATCTGGGCCATCAGGCCTGGCTGCCGGGGTGCAGCAGCAGGTGAACCAACTGCAGATGGTGCAGTCGCTGTTGCTGGAGGATGAGCTGCAGGCGCTTGTCGGGGAGCAGGCCTCATCTGAGGGGCCCGGCTAGGAAAGAAAAGAACCAAATGCATCAGTTCGCAGTTCCAAATGACTCTGGAAGTTACTGAAGAAGAGAAACAAGCCAGGTTCAGAGGCACACACCTGTAATGCCAGCACTGGGATGAAAGAGGCAGAAGAATCAATAGGCCAAGGTCATCCTATGCAGTGATTTCTTCTTCTACATTATTATTTTTCAGAGTATAAAAATTGCAACACTTGGAGGCTAGAGAGATGGCTCAGAGGTTAAGAGCACTGGCTGCTTTTCTAGAGGTCCTGAGTTCAATTCCCAGTAACCACCTGGTAGCTCACAACCACCTATGAGATCTGGTGCCCTCTTCTGGTATGTACATGCCAGCAGAACATTGTATGCATAATAAATACATTTAAAAAATTTGCAACACTTCTCCCTTTTCTTCCCCCCCCTCCCATATACTCCTCCTTGATTGACTGCAAACTCATGGTTTCTTTTTTCATTAACTATTGTTAGATGCATATATGTGTATACATACACATTCTTATATATGATCTCAGTCTGTATGTTACTTGTATATATGTTTTCAAGGCTGACCTCTTGGTATTGGGTAACTAATGTGTGTCCTCACTGGGGAAGACTATCTCTCCTGCTCTGGGCATTCCTTAGTTGCTTGTAGCTCCTGCTGTAGGCTGAGCCTCCGGGTTTACCACCATACACTTTGGCATATCTACTCTCACCCTTGTTCTACAGCGTGATTTTAAAGGATATCCTTCTTTCAAAAAATAAAAGCAAAAACCAACCAACCAAAAATCAATAAATGCCCTAGCCAAAACAAGAGCGAGTTCTACCTAGAAATCCTATACCAGCCTCACCAGTACTGGGATTACAAGAATTTTCACCCTGCCTCGCTTCATTTTAAATTCATTTTATTTTATGTGAATAATTGTTTACATGCATCTATGTCTGTGTACCACCTGCATGCCAGAAAAGTTTTCAATCTCTTAGACCTAGAGTTGCTGGGAATCAAACCTGGGTCATCAGAAAGAAAACCAGTGTTCGTAACTATAAAGCCAACTTTCCAGCCTCACTTTAAATCATTTTTTGTTTGCTTGTTTTTGTTGACAGGGTTTGTGTGTGGCCCTGGCTGTCCTGGAACTCATCTTCTCTCCCAGTCACTGGGTGTGTGCTACAACTGTCTGGCATCATTCACATGCGAGAAGACTACAGAAATTTGTTCTCATTAACCGATATACATAACACTGTGCCTCTCAAGCACACACACACACACACACACACACACACACATCACACTTGGCCTCTTTAACCTTCTGGGTAAGGTCTGTTATCCCTCCTGCCACTGGCCCCAAGATAGGGTTTTCTTTTTGTATCCTGGTTGTCCTAGAACTGACTCTGTAGACGAGGCTGGCCATGAAGATCTCATTAAGATCACCTTCCCTCCACTCCGGAGTTCTGGGATCAGAAGTGTGCACCACCACCAGGCTTGTTAAAGTTTTAAAAACCAAGCATAAACTATTTTGTCCTTTTTTTAAAAAAATATTTTCATATATCCGCATGGCTCACAGTATCTTTAAAGAACAGCTATTCCAATACTCCTAAACCATCAGCTTTAAGTGGGAAAGGGAGAGAAATGCCTCAACAGTCAGACTGAACACTGTTATTCACAAGCCCCGAGTTCAGTTCCCAGAAGCTCTTAACCACCTGCTGTGAATCCCAGTTCCAGTTCGTCTGACAGCTCTGACCTCCCAAGGCTCACAAACGCACTTCTCAAAAAAAAAAAAAAAAAATAAGGCAAAGAAAAATAAAAAAGATTTAGAATTTAAGCCAGATGTGGTGGTGCACACCTTTAATTCCAGCACTCTGGAGACAGAGGCAGGTGGTTTTCTCTAGTTCTAGGCCAACCTAGTCTACATAGTGAGTTCCAGGGTTGCAGGACAACCAGTGCACACAGAGAAACCCTGTGCCAGGAAAAAAAAAAAAAGAGCCTGGAGAGCTGCTGATGAAATGCTTCCAGGTGAAAGGTGCCTGCTGCCAAGCCTGACAACCTCAGTTCAATTCCTGGAGTCCACATGCAAGGAAATAAACAACTCCCACAAGTTGCCCTGTGACCTTCACATGGGTATACAAACAGAGATTTAAAACTCGGGTTAATAAACATTTTCCTAGCATGCATGAGACCCTGGTAGACTAAACTAGAAAGAGAAAATATACAGAAAGCATTGGCTTGGCAAAATATAGCCATAGTTCCTGCTATTCAGCGAGGAGACTTTGGGACCAGCTTGGACAATATAGAAAGATAGTCTAAAGTCTACAAAACCCAAGACAGTCATGAAGTAATGTTCAGAATGTAGACCAAGGCCTTCATTTTATCAGTGAAAAAAGGTTAAGGCAGCTGGGTATGGCATGGATGGTGGCCCACACTTTTAATCCCAGCATTCAGGAGGCAGAGGCAGGTGGGTCTCTGTGAGTTCCAAGACAGCCAAGGCCACAGTGAAACCAACCCAAATCAAAAAGAAACATTTAGGGGAAATGACCTGTCTGAACTACAATTTTTATTAATCTTATTTCTCTTAGTTTTTGGAGACAGGGTCTCTTCATGTGTAGCCTTGCTAGCCTTGAACTGGTGACAACTCTTATCTTTGTAGGATTGGGGCATTCCCCTACCATACAGACAGTCCTCAGGTTCCCTCCCAGTACGACCACAATTTTTAATTTTCTACGATTTTATTCCCTAAAAATAATTTTTAATTTTCTACGATTTTATTCCCTAAAAATCTGGAAGCTGTCAACAATTTCCTACTTATTTTCACGTGGGCCGCGGAGATGTCTCTATTGGGTGATTGCCACTTAGTATAAAATATTCTGGACCAAAGTGGTGGAAGGAGAGAACTCTAAATATTCTGCTCACCACACGAAGATCCGTAAACAGACAAAAATTTATTTATTTATTTTTCTAAAGACCAGCCGTCGGGAGGCGGTGTCAGGAAAATCAAGGAAGGCCAGCTGGGCCTATATGAAGTCCAAGGTTAGCCCGAGGACCTCAAAAACAGAATAAAATAAAACCACCTCAAGACCTTCACATAAATCAATTTTTCTTCGCCTCTTTGTTGACTATGTCCTCTAAGGCCTTTCCCGCAAGCAGTCTAAGACAAAGGTCATGTTTTAGCGTTCTCTTCCGTAATGCACAGAGCGCGTCCCCGTTCTCGGGGAGCTCCCTTCCCCAGGAGAGGATCCCTTCCCCCGTGCCCGCACCGTCTCACCACCCACCGGCCGCCCCCTGCCTCCGGAACGTCGCCCTGGCCGCCCGCGCCCAGTCCCCACCCCTAGGGAGGGTCTCACCTGGCCGGAGGGGCCACCCGGGAAGAGCGGCTTCGACTTCCACGCGGCATCTTAAGTCCTCACACACTCGGAGTCCAAAGACTACGAACTGCGAAACACCGACGAGCGTCCAGCACCTTCTCTACCAAGGAGAGCGGAAAACGGGAGGCGGGGTCTCAGAGGGAAGCCAATCAGCGCTCCGGAGGTGCACGAGCGCTGAAGGTCATTGGACGATCCAGCCGTCAGTAACGGGGAACGCCGGGGTGCTGCGTCACACGCCGGGAAGTCAAGCGCTTGGCGACCAGGCCCAGTAACTAACAGGAAGTTCCTTGGGTTGCCCTCTCATATCTCGTCCCCAGATTCTCTGCTGGATGGTTAGGTTTTTGCTTCCGTTGGACGACTGGCTTCCCCCACAACTTAGGCTGACTTTGATTTTCAGATTCTCCTGCCTCAGCCTCTGGAGGAAACTGGACTGGGAATTACAGGCACGTCGCCATGCCTACTATGTTAACGGGGTTAAATGCAACCTTGAGTGAATCATCCTCGCCTTGTCTACCAGAGCGCCTTGGATTGTTTACCTAACCCTTCTCAGATTGTTTTCTTTTGCAACAAGGCCTCACCTAACGGACGTTGGCCTGGAACTCGCTGTTCTCATGACTCAGTCTCATAATGCTGGTGATGCAGGAGAAGCTCATAGTAAAATGGTGTTATAAAGGATTTACTAATAAACTTGCTTGGAAGTACTAAGCTACACAAAGTAGAATTTAGCTAAAGGAGCCCTGCCTTCAGTGTGACTGGAAGATAGTGTACTAACCAGGCTTTATTAGAAACTGTGGGAAAGAAAATTCTGTAACATAATTGGCCAAGAAATGCTTGTCAACCTGTGGGTCTTGAACCTGAATTGGGATGCTGCCTCCATCCATCTCCGTGTGGGCCTGCTCACATGCTAATATGCCCACATTTGTACCCGGAACTGTATTAAAGGATCACAGCTCTGAATCTAGACCCTCAGCCATAACTACAGAGACTTGTGGTTCCTGAACTAAGATCCTTACCTGGTGATTACCCGAGCCCAGTGATTGGCAGAGCCATTTACAATTTTGATCCATGACTCCCCCCGGAGGACACGCATATCCTGGCCAGCAGATTGGTATGTGGACACCATCCATTCCCACACATTGCCCATGAGGTCGTATAGTCCTTCAGCGTAGCAGTAGGTCATTAGATGGGGGAGTAGGGGACTCTCTCCACCCACCAGATGCCCGGGGGAGGACGGGGGAGATTTTCCTCAGCCACCTTGTCAGACACTGTACAATGGGAGGTCTCATCATAGTTGTTCTGTGGGGGAAAAGCGCTCACTGGTGACAGTCCATGAAAACCGTCTTCAGCTCTGTCACCCTTGGGGAACTTTCCCTGACAAGAAGAATGAAAGTGCAAGATTTATCAGCCTGTCCCGAGGCAGGTGCCCTATCCATCCAGAGGAAAACAATGGTCACTTTACTCTGCGGCGTGGGGGAAGGACGGTGACCTCAGGTTCCCTTACATGGAGCTTTGGAAAGAGCCCTGCTGTTTCTAACTAACCATCTATGCCCTGGATCTCCAGCCTGGGATAGAAGCCCTGGAGCCCATACTGTCACATAGCTCCTGCTTTTGCTTAAATATAAATACACCACCTGTATTTATTGATGTGATTTGTTCAACTTCATTGTTATTCTTATCAAAACTAGAGCTGGCATTTGCTGTGTAAGCATGAGAAACGAGTTCAAAGCCTGAGACCCCATATAAAAGCTGGGCATAGTGCATGCATCTGCAACTCCGGTTCTGGGGGGCAGAGACAGGCAGATCGGGGGAATTGGTTGGCTAGGTAGTCTAGCTGAGATGTTGAGCTCCATCTCCCACTGAGAAGTCCTGTCCCCAGTAATGCTGTGGAGTGACTGGAGGGATGGCTCAGCAGCTAACAACATGCACTGTGCTTCCAGAGTACCCAAAAGGACCCAAGTTTAATTCTGAGCACCCATGTCAGATGTCTAAAAACTATAACTCCGGCTCCAGGGGCATCCAATACTTCTAGCACTCATGTACATCCACAAACACACACAATATACACAATTTTCTTTACGAAACAAGTTTTCTCTGTGTAGCCCTGTCTATGCTGGAATTTCCTCTGTTGACTAGGCTGGTCTCCAGCTCACAGAGATCCATCTGCCTCTGTCTCCTGAATTCTGGGAATAAAGGCATGAGTTGCCATACTGAGTTTTATAATTTAATTTTTTAAAATTTATTTATTTATGTATACAATATTCTGTCTGTGTGTGTGCCAGAGCTCAATGCTCTCCCTGATCCAATGGACAGAGAGCAGAAGTTTGCGCTTGCAATAAAGGCTCTTTGCTTCTGCATATGCACTTGAACTCCTGGGGGGGCTCATTACATGGGCATAACAGGATGAATTAATTTGACCGACCGGTCCCAATGTAACAATACAGACTTGATCATAATCAAATATTCTTTAACAATATCTGTTAATGGACATTACAAATGTATTAAGATGAAAGAGAGAAAACAGATTCTTTAGTCACTTCCGTCTAAATTAACATACATAGTAGATTGGATACCAGATTTTAGCTCCACCTAGGGTTAAACAGCAGACAGACAAATTCCTTTTGTGTCTAAGGGGATCTTTCAATTCCTGGGCTTTTGGGGAAAACAAAAACAAAACAAAAAACAAGCAAACATGTTGAACATGCCCCTGTAATTACATTTCCAAGGTTATCGCGATATTTTTGTAAATGGTGCCTTTTTTCCTTTGCTGCCTAGGTTTTGATTGTACTGATGTTCCTCCCCACCTCAGCCCTATTTCCAATCATGCACTCCCTGTGGGAAAACTTCTTTTTCTGTGACAATACACTTATTCTGCCTTCTCTGAAGGTAGTAAGAGCATGCCTGGGCTAGGACACTAGGACACGTCACACCTATTTCATTCAGTCGTCTCTACAATCTGCTGATAGGATTATGACATCAGGGAAACTGAAAACTCTGCTGATTCCCTACCTCTGCTGGAACCCACCTCAATGGCAGTCCTAGCTGCCTTTGTATTGCCTCTGCCTGACTTGGTTGTGGGGATGTAAAAGGAGATTTCTAAAATAGCCTGCTGAATAGCTAAAGATACCAGCAAAAATTAATCACAAGAAAAAAAAGAAAAAAAAGACAGAAAAATCAAAAAAATTAATCACAAAATGAAAGAATTAAGAACGACAGTCTTAAAAAATAGAGCTACATTAGGCTATCTGTTGCTCAAACATAATCTTGGATGTCAGTAGTTCCCTGAAATGTGTTGTTTCAATGTGTCAGATTTCTCACACACCACTGATAACCAAATCGATGACTTACATAGAGAACGTACAGGTTGATTGGCACCTCCTGGCTAAGAAGGTTCTTTCCCTTCATTGGCTCCCTGATAGCTCTTTCAATCACAATATTTAGGCCCTGTGTTTCTCAATGTCCTTATCACACGCAAGATATTCAATGCCAGAATACTGTTCAATGGACAACAAGCAATGCTGGTCCCATGTCAAAGATTTGGAGGAGTAACATAGGCCAACGGAGGAATGTGAGACCAAAACAGGAGCAACATACCTTGCAAATCAAGGAGGCCATTATTTTAAGCCCCCATGTTTTACAAAAAATAGGTTTCTTTTCATGAATAAGGTTGCTTCTTAAATCTAATGTGTGATCCCATTAACAAGATGTATATATCCTTATCTTCCTTTTTCATTGTATTTTTCTAACAATCTCTAACAGCCAATTCTCTCGCCTCTATAAACACACAGCTATTTTCTATTAATCTATTATCTTTCCCCCATAAAAGAGGCCGCAAAAGTCCAGTAAGGGGTTGCTTTTTAAATGCCGACTTAGGTTAGACAGCTGGCTGGCCAGCACGGAGTGTACCTCTAAATTAAAGCTTGCTTTGAGTAGAAGATCATGACTTTAGTCTTTCTCCTCCCTAGTTTCAGGTTTAACACTTATTAATACAGTAGGCATGGCGACACATACTTGTAATGCCCCAATCAAGTTTACTTGAGAGGCTGAGGCAGGAGAATCTCAAAATCACGGGAGCAAAAACCTAAGCATCCCTCACAGAATCTAAGAACAAGCTTTGACCGAGGCACTCCAAGAACTTATGGTTTGCTACAACGCCCCGTCGCCAAGCAACTTCCCGGCGTGGGGTGCAGCCGCTGCCAGTTACTGACGTCTCGCTCTTCCAATGACCTTCAGCGTCCATGCTTCTCCTGGGCTCTGATTGGCTATGCTCTGAAGCCCCGCCTCTCATCTTCCTCTCTTTGCTGGCCGATGGTGGGCGTTTCGGAGTTTGCTGTGTCTGGAGGTTGAATAAACAAACACCTAGGATGCGGTGCGGAAGCCGCTCTTCCCGGGTGGCCCCTCCAGCCAGGTGAGACCCTCCCTAGGGGTGGGGACTGAGCGCGGGCCGCCAGGGCGTAGGTAGGGGGCGGCCGGCGGGTGGTGAGACGGCGCAAGCACCGGCGAAGGGATCTGCTCCTAGAGAAGGGAGCTCCCCCAAAAGGGGGTCGCTCTCTGTACCTTACGGAAGAGGACCCTAGAGCGTGACCTTTGTCTTAGACTGCTTGCGGGAAAGGCCTTAGAGGACATAGTCAACAAAGAGGCGAGGAAAAATTGATTTATGTGAAGGTGTCGAGGTGGTTTTGTTTTACTGTATTTTTGAGGTCCTCGGGCTAACCTTGGACTTCCTATAGGCCTGGCTGGCCTTCCTTGATTTTCCTATCTCTGCTTCCTGATGGCTGGGATTACATGCTTTAAAAGTCTTTAGAAAAAAAAATTTAAAAAAAAATTAAAAAAAATATTCGTGTACGTGTTTACGTGTGGAGAGCGGGGAATTTAGAGTTCTCTCCACCACTTCAGTCCAGGAGACCTAACATTTAGCGATAAACGCTTTATTGCATTTAACCCCAACCTTCCTAATGCTGTGACACCTTAGTTTAGTTCACCATGTAGTGGTGACCACCGACGATAAAATTATTCCCGTTGCTACTTCATAACTGTAATTTTGCTACTATTATGAATCGTAATGTAAATATCTGATGTGCAGGATGGTCTTAGGCAACCCCTCTGGAAGAGACCCGCGGAGG